GTAAATCGTATTGAAATGTGAAAGCATATAATTTCCATTCATACAATTGTATTTGCACCTGTCTAGTGCAAGATCAAAGACGGAAGAACACTTGTCAAAAACCACTGCTCCAAAAAGAGTAGTCATCCGGCGACACCCATCCGGGTGATATCGTTGAAGAGAACAGCTCCCTTCCGGGTGGTACATTGTTCTAGCGATCCAATAACTCAAACGACATTTTCTTAAAAGAAACTTGCAGCCGTTAGAAATGATCCTTCGCATCTAGGATTCACCCGGCAAGGACCCAAACGTGGTCCATCCGGCAAAATGAAATTCCTAGTGGGCTACTACAACCGGGTATTATCTAAAAAAACCCCCAAACGGTTTTACAACCCATCCGATATTTTATTGTACCAGCCGGGGCAAGAGTAGATCAACCATTGATCACCCATCCGGCTGCCAATGAAACGGCTGCCTGTTTACCGTTGGAGTAAACAGTTAGCCATTTCAGGGGCATATCATGGTATCGTTATTTCATCCGGCGTATATAGAACGGTTGATCATGTTAACCGGATGAGTAGTAAACAATGTAAAAACTTGTAAAAATGCATAAATAAAAAATCAAATGCAAATAGTAGAATAGCAAAACCGACTGCGTCGGTTAGTAGATTAAAAATTTACTAAATAAAAATGTTAACCGGACCCCCGTCAGGGAGAGAAACATACAAAGATACACGGCTCGCAGGCCGGTAAAAGAAGTGGTAATAAAAAGGAGAAAAATTCATTGTTGTTCCTACTACTGCTGTTGCTCTGGCTGCTGCTCCGGCTGTTGCTCCTGCACCTGCTCCTGAGCCGGCGTTTGAACCAGAGCTATCCAAGATACTGTCACCCGGGGTGCTAGGTGTACTCGGAGAATTTTGCAAAACTTCCTCATTAGGACCCACCTCAGCCGGTTCCTCGGCTTGTTCTTGATTTATAGGTTCAGCCGGATCAGCGACTGCATCATCGGACTGGTAGTCAAGGTCGATTGCCGTCACTCTGATCCGAGCCATTTTGTCCTGCACATGAACAGAGACGGTCGGATTCGATGTAGGTGAAGGTTGTTCCAAGCACCCCCAGACGGCAATCCCAGTCCTAGACTCAGCCGTTCCTGGTGACCGGCTGACCACAGTCGTAGGCTGTGCCGTGTGTGCATTGGTGGAGTCCATATCCTAATACTATGCAACCGGAAATAAAAGAAAGTGACAAGTATAGGATGCAGGCGGTACCTTTGATGTGAGAGTTGAGTGTTGGCTTGAAGTCACCTCAGACGGGGAACTCCGCGAAAATGTTTAAAGCTGAAAAAAGACAAAGTAAATACTTAGCCGGTTATTCATTAACTCGCCCAAAAACCCCCCAGACGGTGTTTAATGAGGTGGGCCAGAAGTACCCTAGACGGCATAAAACCGGATAGGGGTTCTCTACAAACATTTGTAATGACTGGCTAGAATATTGTAAAGCTCTCTATGATACCCCAGACGGTATTAAGCGAGCTGGGTCAGAAGTACCCCAGACGGTTAAAAACCGGATGGGGGGATATGATTTGCACTATAGTAAAAAGCTTAGATTATTTGTACAGTTCACCGAATAATACCCTAGACGGTATTCAGTGAGCTAGGTTAGAAGTACCCCCAAACGGTATAACACCGGATGGGGGGGGGGGTTGTGATAGGAATTGGCATAGTAAAAAGAATAGGGGCTCACTCCATGATACCCCAGACGGCATCAGGAAGGTTGGGTCAAAGATACCCCATCCGGTAAAGATGCCGGATGTAGGTGCTGCATCAGCATCTAGGGTCAACAAATACCTCAAACGGTAAAATACCGGATGGGGATATAGAAGGATCTGTTTCAACAAGGCATGTTCAAACAATACCCAGACGGTGAGTCACCGGATGGGGTTGCATTGAACGCATCTTCAAAATTGAAAAGGTCTCGAAAAGGCAAGGATGGTGACCCAGCCGGCCTTGAAACCGGTTAAGGTTTTTTGAAATCGTCACTTGCCAGGGCAAATACCCAGACGGTGAGTCACCGGATGGGGGTGAATTGAACGTATCTTGATAAAAATCCTAAAAAGAGGCAAGGATGACCCATTCGGCTTCAAATTAAAGCCGGTTGGGGTTTTTAAAATCATTTCTTGATAAAAACTCAGAAGAACCCTAGACGGTGTTAAAGGATAAGTCTATTGGAGGAAGGTTCAAAGACCCCCCAGACGGTGTTAAACCGGATGGGGGTGTTTAGAATGCATAATGCTTAAAAGTTGAAGACCCCTCAGACGGGGCTATGCCGGCTGAGGGAGAAGATTCCACAATGGGATATGGGTTAAAGGCCCCCCAGGCGGCATGCAACCCGGATGGGGTGAAACGTTCAAAATCCTCAAGCGAAAGTAAAAAGAAAAGGGCAGCTGGTACCTTAGAGATTGAAGAAAGAGTACCCAACCGGTCGCCGGATGTGCTCGATTTGAAAATGCCGGATGCAAGAAAACTTAAGAAATAATGCAGCCGGTATCAGAGCTCTCTCAGAAATTTTTTGAAAAATATGCAAAGTGTGGAGGAGAGAGAGGGTGTCTCGTATTTATAGAAGGAGCAGAAGGCGAAACGATGCCTTCTGCCGTAAAAACTTGAAATTTGAAAAAAGGAGGGAAGAAGACGAACCGTCTCCTCCCATGCGTCTGACACTTGTCACAGGTGACACGTGGACATTCCACGTCACACCTGTGAGGGGCAGATGTTTAGGGTAAAAATACCCTAAGACACGTGGCCCAATAAAGGCTTGCCACGTGTTAAGATTGCAACGGTCAGCAAAGGCCCAATCCCTTTGCAACACGTGTCATTGTACCCTAATTGAGGTACAGCTCTCCCCTACTATAAATAGTAAGGGCATACCTCATTAATAGGGATCGAAATCATTTTTCACAAACCAACAAAACACAAATCCCCTTGCAAACGCTCTCAACTCGAGAAGCATTTATTGTCTTATTTCCCCATTTAGAAAGAGACTAACTTAATCTTCGGAGGCGGAACACCCCAGCCCCAGCCGGAGTATTCTGTTATTTGTGCAGGTATAGGAGAAGGAAGGAGCATACTAGGAAATTGTAACTCTCCCGTAGGACACATAAAAAACCCCCAAACACAAGGGTTCCTATATTATTAACATTCTACTTTTTCTTTGCAAATTAAATTTTTTCTAGTAAATTATTGTTGGATTAACATTATAATTCGTTGTATATCAAAAGGATAATATACAAGTTCATCAATTTGATTGACTAAGAGATTAAAATCGACATTGTCATAAATTATTGTGGTATTATTGTAAATTCGATAGGCTGAGTTGGAAAAATTGGCCACGTATGCAGAAAAGTAATGGTGTCGTTACTGCAATCTATTTCTTCCATCCTCCATCGTAGCTTCTCGCTTTTTTGTTTTCTAGATTATTGAAAATTAAGCTTAATGGCAGCTTCAATGGAAGACATGATTGTCTTTACCTTTTTAACATTTACCATGCCCTAAATTTCACCTATTTTTCATAAGGTTTTCATTTAATATGGCGACGAAGCCACTGAAAATGATGGTGTTGTTAATGGAAGGCGGAGACGAGGAAGATGGTGTCGGTGGAAGGTTGACACGATGAAGATGGTGGAAATGGTGGTGTCGGTGGGAGTTGGGTGGAGATCGGGGAAGGAAGAAGAAGGAAGGAGAAAATTTCAATGGTGTCGGTGGAGTAACACCACAATGCCCATTAACTTCACTTCGATTTGACCCACTCTCAGCTAGTGAGTAGGATTACTCATGAACTAGTATCCGATTATTGTTCTTTAATATTACAAGTTTACAACAATGCCATAAAATTGACAGTTTTTGTCAATTTAAAAAGATTAACCAGTAGGGGTGAAAGTTCGGTTTGCAGTTTGGATTTCACACCAAACCGAATTAATTCGATTTTGGATTTTTGAAACCGAATCCAAACCAAATTTGGATACAGTCCAATCCAATCCAAACCATTTCAATTCGGTTTTGGAAATTAAATCCAAACCGAACCGAATTTTTTGTTAGCTTTGTCGTTTTGGGGAAAGTGAAGCAAAATTAAGAGCAATTACGAAATTAGAAAGAAAATGAACTGGAATTTGGGGAAAATGAATCCCTTATAATTTTAATTGAAATTCAAGCAAATCCAAAATATAACAATTCACGTAGATCACATTAACCTTATCAACGCATATTTAAGCAAAATTGAATTTGGCTAGTCGTTTCCCTTTTGAAATTTCTTAAATCATTTCCATAAATCTTTCATTAACAAGAGTCTAAGCTAACACTATCGTTCCAATTCTTCAAATTTTAAATGAAAAAAAAAATTGAAGTCTTCTTTCAAGAGAAATTGAATAAGAAAGGGAGTAGAGGAGCGATAGATCGTCGGAGATTGAGAGTGATAAACAAGGTGGAGCAGTGGAGCCGGTGGTCGGTGATTGAGAAAGTGGCTGAAAAAAGTGGGAAACGGTTGGGATTAGATCTAGGGTAGTTGCTGCAATGAGTGGCTGAGAGTGAAAGAACATGGAAGAGAAAATGAAATAGGGTTTTTGTCTAGAGGTTTATATATGAAGGGGAAAATGGGCTGGAGAATTAGGATTTTTAATATTTCGTTTTCAAATTTCGGTTTTCGGTTTTTTGAAGCTTAAAACCAAAACCGATCCACAATCCAAATTTTTTTTTTAAATCCCAAACCAATCCAAACCGAAATGTTAAAAAAACCAATCCAAATTGTTAATTCAATTCGATTTAGTTCAATTTGTGAATTTAATCCATATTACTTTCACCTCTGTTAACCAGGGCTTGCTCGATTAAAAGCCAATACTCCCACAAGAAAAGCAAAACATTGGAATTGCCAAAAATACCCCATGTTTACTCAAGTTAAAATACCCACCTTACCCCTTAATATATTTTTAGTGTACATGTTTTATGTCGGACATAAACTTGGTACTTTTATAAAAGCAGAGTATGCTAATTTCCGATTTCTTGTGGAAAAAGAATACGCAAGAAAGCTGATTAAAGAGAGAAACCAAAATCAAGAGAGAGAAACACAACAATCTTACTTCAATGGATCCCAAAAACACCAGCTCTCTACTCGTCGACGACATTCAGCGAACTCAGTATGCCCTTTTTATCTCTCTTCTACTTTCAATTTCAATGCAATAAGGGTTCATTTCACTCTATTTCAATTTTTCAATTTTTGGGTCATTTCTCAGATTCCGTCGATTAGGGTTTTGGAAAAGCTAGATTTCTTAAAATATGTTGTGGGTATTAATTTTTGATTGTTTGTAATTACAGTTCATTTTTTAGAGAATTGTTTGAAATTAGACGTTAATTAATTAGTTAATTGGGAATGGAATTTGATTGTTTGATTTGTATGAAACAGGTATCCTTATGTGACTGGGACATCAGTTATCGGAATCAAGTATAAGGATGGAATTCTCATTGCTGCTGATATGGGAGGTCTGGTTTTTTGTCATGTTGTTTTTGCGATTCTTTACTGCTTCCCATTATATATTTCAGTGAGTAATGTATACTTGTGTTTGGGCTTTTGGGGTTTGGTACGAGAGTGTTGTGAAAATGTTATTTTTCGTGTTTCGCTACGAGGGTTAGATGGTTTCGATATGGAACTTGGTAGGGGATGAAAAGGTGTTTTCTTTTTGGAAATTGATCTTATTGAATGATAAGGAAGTTAGGGTTAATCTGAAGTACATTCAGAATAACTCTTTTGATCCTACAATTTGTATGATTCATATTAGGTGGTGGTTATTATGGAGAATCTATCTATTGAGATGCAACCCTTTTGATTTTGCTATCTACTTAGCTTTTAGCTTATAGCCGCTAACGACTTCCGTCTGTTGGACCTTTCTGTTTGCACAACTTAAGTGGACAAAATGTCTCATATAATATTGGGCAACTGCCCTTTAATTTTCTTGGTTGTTATATAGACTATATAGAGTGAGAGTGAGGGATAGCTCAAGTGGTTAGAGCTTCCCTCCCAGTTCTATGAGATTCTGGAATCGATTCTCACCCCCGCCCATTGTGGCTCTTTGAACCCCAAAGAAAAAAAAAAAAATGACTGTATAAAGTCACCCCTAAAGTTTTAGGTTTTGGAGCTATGCTTTTTAGTCTTTTGGGATAATTACATACAAGAAATGTGTTTGAGGTACCAATTTTTAGCCTGTCTCACTCCCCAATAGCATAAAAGAAGTGAGGACTGAGGTAACCACTCATTTTACTATGTCCAATGGTTGGACATTAGTTATATTCTTAATTTTTGGGTTAAACTTATAATACTTACCTGGCTATGTATGCTCTAGTATCGTGTCATCTTTTCCAGATACATGGGTATAACTTACAATGCCTTTGTCATCAATCTGACTGTTTGTGGACTCCAGTGAAGTTGTAACTGAGCATATTGGGTTTCGGAACTAAGAAATGGTTAAAGATTCTTTTCATTTCATCTATGATGATTTTTGAGTCTCAGCATGTCTTCCTCATTTGTCCATGAGTATTTCAAATCTAGTAGTATACTTTCAAAAGTTCTAGTTCTTGTTGGTGATTACTTTCTAGATTTCTGCTTCTGCCTCTTTCATGGTTTTATAGAATTTTCTGGCTAGAATGCTAGATCTCTTTTTAGCTCTGATGCTCCTTTTTAGTGTACCAATAATGTTTGGTGTGTGGTATGCCATATTTCCATCCCTGTAGCATCCCTCCTTTGTCTATTTAACAAGCTCTTTCCGGAGTGAGTTTTGTCATCCTCAACTTGCCAATAAAATACTTTTAAGGAGTTTGTGTGTGTGTATTAGTTATTGTACATTCCTTCCATCTTAATCGTGGCTACTTGTTAAGGTTATGGGGCTCAAAGATTTAATGACTGGAATATAGAAAGCAGTGGTTGTTTACAGCAGGGAGTTAATTGAATTTATGTGTGACATTAGAGGCTAGGAAAAAGGCAAGCTGGTGAAATTATTGACATGTCAGTGACAGTTGGATGTCAAAGTGCTTTTAGTTATGGGTTTTTTTTAATAATTAATTTTATTTATGATTGAAAAGTGTGAGATTCTGTTCACCTTGATAGTTGTGCTAAGCTTAGGTCATGAATGATTCTCCTTCAACCTGGAGGTCAGAAAAATATGATGGTTAGGCTAAGCTCTGAAAATGTATCCAAGATAGAAATGTAAAAATTAAAGTGAGAACTGAGGTTTTTGTCTGCAGTTTAAGTATTTTCTTTTTGATAAATTTTTTTTTCCTCTGATCGGCTGTCCTTGATTATCTTCGGTTGTTGTAGTATTTGACAAAGGAACTGAAGTCTTTTTTTGTTATAATTTTGTATTATTGTGTTATGGTTCCATGTTCTTAATTTAAGTCCTCATAATTGTGCTATCATCATTTCTGATTTTATAGAAAATATTGAGCTCATCCTGGCCTTCATGAGTACATGTTTTATTTTTCTCCCCGTTGTTGAATCAAGTTTTATCGCCTATTTTTGGAATTTCTCGAGTTCTCCACCAAATAATTTCCACAAGTCTTCTTTTGCTATTCGTTAAAAAAGTTATATGATTATAGGGGATGAGAACATCTTCAATCAATTATTAAGGTACTAAAGTCTTGGATTTTGGATTTATGTGCTGATCTTGTTGAGGTTGTTCTGCTAGATATTTTTATTTGTAAATTAAACACAATATCAGGGGTCTTCTTGTTATGTGTAAAAGCGGTTATCTTTTATCATTCAATTAACCAAAGTATTGACATGTATGACAGGTTCCTATGGATCCACATTGCGTTACAAGAGTGTGGAGAGATTGAAAGGTATTGGGAAGCACTCGCTTCTTGGTGCCAGTGGAGAAATAAGTGACTTTCAGGAGCTTCTGCATTACCTTGATGATCTCATGTAAGTTATAATCCTGTTGGCATTTCTTTTGTTCAATAAGTGCATTTAATTTTGTGCTGAAACATGCTGCCATCAAGTAGCAAGAGCCAAAATGGCTGTAATTTTTTACTCTTGAAGCCCACAATAGTTATATCGAAAATACAATAGCAACCTCTTTATGTTTTTTCCATCATTGATCTGCCTTACTTGTTTTTGCTTTCCTGACTCGTAACTGCTTCTTTTTAACCTTGATGTTTGCAGTCTGTATGACAACATGTGGGATGATGGAAACTCCCTTGGACCTAAAGAGGTGCACAACTACCTGACTCGTGTTATGTATAATAGGCGTAACAAGTTTAATCCACTTTGGAACTCTCTTGTCCTTGGTGGAGTTAAGAATGGACAGAAGTACCTTGGAACGGTGAGTTTTTTTTATCTTCAGCTTCATGCACGGATGATTGCTGTTAGTATGTTTTGCAACTGAAGTTAATTTTTATTTTTTTTGGGTGGAGATTTTGAACTTTGACATTTTTTTATGCATGTTGTGCAGGTCAATATGATTGGTGTACACTATCAAGACAATCATGTCGCCACTGGATTTGGTAATCACCTTGCGGTGCCAATTCTGCGAGATGAATGGAAGGAGGACTTGAGTTTTGAAGATGGTGTTAGGCTACTGGAGAAGTGCATGCGCGTCCTACTATACCGTGATCGATCTGCAGTCAACAAGCTTCAGGTCTGTTCATCTTTGTCATGATTTAGTATTGATGACATGCTTCTCTAGCCATATACAAAATTTTCTCTTCTTTATACTGAAACTGAAAATATACACCATTTTGGTAGCTTATGCAAATCCTTTGAGTTGTTAAAGACTCATTATTTATTCATGCACTCATTGATCTCCACTTATAAATATTCCATATGAGTTTTAGGATGAATTACTGTTTCAATTCAGGAATATGCAGCATGTTTTGTTTATTTGTCCTTGTTTATTTTTTTTTTTTTTTTTTTTTTTTTTAATGCTTCTTTCCTAAGGTTGCATTATACTTGGAGATGTCTGAGATAACTGGTCTCTATGCACACATAGTATTGTAATATTAGAGCACATTGCTAAAGATTAGTGAGACTTTAAGAACCCTGAAATATGGGACTTGTGCTATTTTATGATGCCTATTTTAGTCGAGGTTTGGCAAAAGGATTGGGAGCCATTTTACTTGTTTGAAGTGTTTGAATGTGAAGTGGTTCACCTTGTACTTTTTCTCCTTGCCTCTATGATTTTGGGTAGGGAAGATAAAAGAATTCAAATTTATAGGGAAAGAATGATTTGAACTGTGCCTTTGGATTGTTTAAGCTTTTTTGTTAATTGTTTTAACATGAATCATGAAAATGCATTTTTTAAAATGAGACAGCTCTAAGGGAGACCATGCTATATATATATATATATATATATATATATATATATGGTCAATGCAGTGACCTTTTGGCATACTCAGATGGATGCGTGGAATATGATAGTGTGGATTTATCATCTTTCCCAAAATGCTATGTTTATGTCTTGGACGATTAGAAGTTTTCTGTTTAATACTGAAGTCCAAAATGTTTATGATTCACTACTTTATCAAATATCCTCTGCTGTCTTTTAAGCATTTGAAGAGTATGTCTTGTACTAAATATTACTTTGAAAAATATCAGATTGCAAAGATCACCGAAGAAGGTGGTGTGACAATCTCTCCACCTTACTCATTGAAGACATATTGGGAATACGCTGCATTCAAGAATCCCACTGCTGGTGCTGAGGGCTCATGGTAGATGATTTGCCTTGTAGTGGTTAAAAGTTGGGAGTGCAATGAAATATGACTTTGAGGCTTTTGTTTGTAATATCAGCTTCATTCACTTTTAAACTGTACTTGAGAACTAGAATGTTTTCATGGTTAGCCCCCTGTGCAAACCCTATCAAGAAATATTGTTGTTAGTTATTGCAGTAACATTATTATTTGCTCATGTGATTATGGATTTCAACCACTCTTATCTTTACCTTAACTTTCATCTTTTTCCAACAGGCCAGCTACACGTGTCGTATATGCCCTTCTGTGCCATCAGTTGATTATTTGCTTGCATGAGTCACTGTTTTTAAGGTTTGTTACATGGCTATCTGCATACTGGTCTTGTTTACCGAACATGTTTGTTTGTTTGATCTTCTGCCCTTTTCAACTGAATTTCTAGGCAGTTTCTTGATAGTTTTCTCTTCTTTTTGAAAACTTTCCCAATCATAAGAAGGAATTAGTCATCTTGCCGGCTAAGCGTGACAGCTTAACCTCTAGCTGTATTTAAAACTTATAAATAGACAATTTTGTCTTGGTGGTTTTCTTGACACAAGTGATGAAAGTGACATATTAAGCTTATGGACTAGGCCGTCTTATTTATTATATGCCTCAACGTGCCCGCAACTCTTATTTGCATGTAAGTGATGTAACTGTGCGACACTCCCACCACTATGGTTTCTTGGTATCATTGAATCTCATAAAATGTCTTCCTATTTTTAACAATATGGCAATTATCTGTAAACAAAGCGATCCCGATATGGAAACTAGTACACCCATGACCCCCAACTCCAAAGCACGTCGTCCCCAATCTGCTGGTATTCCTCGCTCACCACGCTTGAGTCGTAGCAGTAGTGGTGCATCAACTGCTTCCCCTTCAGAGTCTCATGGGACATCCCCATATCGTTCCACAAACCGGGTTTCATCTGTTTCTCTTCCTGAGGTCCGTGCCTCAAGGTCTGCCACCTCATCCCCTAGACAATCAGTTCATCGGTCAAGGTCAATAATCAAGACTAGAAGCGCCACTAAAGAGGAGAAAGACGAGGAAAGCTACAACAATATTCCTATATCCAAAGTCATAGGCAGTCCACGAAGGAGACTAAGCTTGGATAGCAAGGATTCAAAGGAAGATCACAACAATGCAAACCAGAGTAATTTGGCTAGGCTATTTAGGTCGAATTCTCATAACACGATATCGAAGGCAGTAGGAAGGTCCTTGATCAAATCTCCCTCTGCATGGGCCCTGTCTCCAGGCCGGCCATTGTCCGCCCCGCCCTTGGCACCAGAGTCACCTAAGGTGAAAACTGTAAGTGGGGTTCTGAAGTACTTCAATAAGCAGAAGAAGGTATCATCAGCTCAAGAGGAAGAATTTCACCAATACAAGATTATGCATAGTAGGCTGCTTCAATGGAGATTTGCCAACGCTAAGGCTGAGGCTGCTATGGCAACCGTTAGGCGAAAAGCAGAGGTCAGTTGGTTTTCCCTCCCTTACACCTTCATTTATGTATGATTGACATTGCTCATATGTCAAAATCTATCTGTTACATATGAGAACGATTGAACGTAAGGGAAATTTAGTAGAGGGCTCAACATATCACATAACCAAAAACTCGATCAGTAGATAAAAGACATAATCTAAGTCCGTAATGATGACCAGTTGGCCGATTCACAAGGTAGGCCAGGTTGGGGGTGGAAGTTAGGACCGGCCCATGAAACAACGAGATGGGTTGATTCATGGGCAGGTGGTAGGTTCGGGCTGTCATGAAAATTGGCTACTAAATATGGTTGTCTATGACCCACCCATTATATAACTTGACCAACTAACATAAGTAAATTGTTGCCAAAATTAGTCCCTTTTTGGGCTTTGCCCTCTAATTCAATAATGTATGCTTACTTGCTTAGTTAAGATTTTGATCCAAGAAAAATACAAGTTAACAAACTAATTAATGCTATGTGATTGCATTACAGGGATTTCCAACTAATTTCATCACACCATCTTCTAAAAAGAGGTATAGAAAGTTCTTTGTGATAGTTAAAGTTTATAACCCTTTTCTTAACTTGTAGCCTTATTCTTAGTTATTATCAAAATCAAATACGAAGTATCTTACATTTACAAAAGAAAGACAACTTGTAACAAACAAATAGAAAAAATAAAGTAAGGGAAAACAATAAAAAGAAATGAGTGATCAATAAGGAAAAAAATTAAATTAAAAGAAAAAGTGAAAGGGTGGTGGTGATCATGAATTGCCATATATGTTATGAGTAAAAAAGAGACGAGTTCAGACACAAGATGAGACATAAAATGAAACTGAATCCTCAATACTAAAATAATATTAGTTTGAAATTTTAAATGTTATGCTAAGGTTGTGTCTACATGATATTTGACAGGAGAGAGTGTTTGGTGTATGGTTGAAACTATACAAAATGAGATATGCAATTGCTGAAAAGAGGATGAAAGTGGAAAGACTAAAGCAAAAAGTAAAGTTTCTTGAAATATTATGCCCACAACTTGAGCTTCTCAATGAGTGGGAAAAACTGGAGAAAAAAAATTGTGAAGCTGTTGGTAGAGTTACCAGGAAGCTCTCTGCTTACTCTACTAAACTTCCATTAGTTGATGGTGCAACGGTGCGTTTCATTTTTCTTAACCCTGGAATGCTAAGAAAACTGCGTATATCCTCTATCACGTAATTCAATTTGAGAGGATCGATCAAAGATGAATTTTAAATTTAAAATAACAATCAAGTAATGTAATACTGCAACAATTATGAAAAATACTATTTTGATTGCTAATTTAAAATAAGTTGGCTTTTTGTATGCAGGCTGATATAGTTTCTGTATATGATGCCATGAAATTAGCTTTGGAAGTTATAGAAAATATTGAAGACACCATCATAGACCTTCAAAATCAGGTTGATTTTTATCTAATAATTAATCACCTCAAAATACTGTTTTGGTTCAAATTTTTTAATTTAATTTTGTTTGGGTTGTGCTTGCATGAATGCAGAGTGAAAAGGCAAGCAATATGTTAAGGGAGCTTGTGTATACTGTCAATCAAAACGTGGAATGCTTTCAAGATTTGGAGAAGGAAATTGCATCAGTTATGTCACTAGAGGTATGGTCTTAGCTTGGATTCAATTTTCGCTGGTAGCATGGTTAAAGAGGTTCAGATATAAGCAATCTTGTAATCAAACCGTACTAATTGTAAAACAGTACAACATCAATGTGTTATTATTTGTATGTAGTACGAGTATATATAAGTACTTTGTAGTCCGTACTATGTTAATAAGCACGTACTTACTCCGTAATAGTCTAATGTAATTTATTGTGTGAACAGGCTCATGAAAAAAGCTTGGTGGTACATCTCTTACAAGAAAACAAGGAGCCAGAGGAAAGCCAGAGGAATTGTAAACAGCACCTTATGAGATCCTTCAAAAACAAGGAGACAGCTTTAATTTTTTCCATGTTAAATGTCTCTTAATTTATTGTTATAGATCAATTGATTATATTGTTCTTGCATGCTATATCTATATCTACAATAGCCCCCAAAAGTGGTGAGGCTAAAATTTTTGTATGATGACAGGTCTTTCAAAGGCCAATTTTTGAAAGAATTATATCAAAATTCTATATATACATACAGGATTGAGCTAGTGCATAATATGAGCCGGCTCATTAACTTCTTTTATAGTAGAAGAAATGTTCTTATACTCCAAGTACTTATAGGAATACTCGAGTCTTGCTACGTTTATAAGCAAGCTGAACACCAAAGCCTATCCAAGAGCCAGCATCCGAGCACTGCACCATCGAGGTTCAGATTCAGTGCTCGGCCTGGTGGGGGATGATGGATTGACATCCACAGCTAGAAATCTAGAGTGTACTTATCATCTTCTAGAAAATTAGAGATACTGTATGCACTTGATAATTCTCAAACCGAAAGGAAATGCCCTTTTTAAGCTAACTTCATAATTTCTTTTGACTAATTCTAGCTACAATAGTAATGAATGGATTTATATTTGCTTTTTGAATAAATCTGCAATATAATTATCACCTCTAAAAAAGCACAAGTTGGCCACATCAAACAATACTTTGTTATAATTAGTACTAGAACAAAATCATTGCCTCAAATTTCCATCAAAAATCACTTCATAAAAACTATTTCTATACCTCCCCCCACAATTTGAATCAGAAATTGAAAAAAAAAAAAAATTAGAAAAAGATTAGTACTAATATTAACATAATTACTTTACTTCTTTTCACCTAAAGGAGGTGCACCAACATTGTCATGAACATCAACACAACCACCAATTTCAATTACATGATCACCACTATCACCTCTTCCTAGACTAGGAGATTTTCTCTTAGGCTTGGCTTCTTGCAACATTGATATAACATCCCTCATGGATGGCCTATCAGCGGGGTTACGACTTGTACAAAGTAACGCGACTCTAAGTACAAGCATCATCTCCTCTCTTACTGATGCACACGACGCCCCTGCATTTTTGTCTAGGATATCATTGATCCCATTTTTCGCCTTAATTTTGGTACGCACCCAATCTACAACACTATTTCCTTCACCAAATTCCGGGTGTACTGATCTTTTTCCGCTCAATATCTCCAATAGTACCACCCCGTAACTATAAATGTCACTCTTTTCATCGACTTGTAAGGTATAAGCATACTCTGCATCAACCAAAACAAACAACACTTTAGTACAAACAAAAAAAAAAGTTTGAAAACATGAAGATTACTAAACTTAGCTTTTACTTAAGGTTAATTGAATTCACCTAAGTAATTAGTGGGGTTTAGTACTTAAGTGAATACAAACAAGAAGACAACTTTTTTTTTTGTTTTTTTTTGTTTTTTCATATTATTAACCTTAACCATGAAAATAACAAATTAACTAATTAAAAGGTGCTAAAAATGACTAAATGAGTCAATGCAATATATTGCACCAAAGATTATTACAAACTAAGTGTTTGACAAATTGGTGAGTAGGTCCAAATTTAAATGATTTTGAAAGAAAAAAGCAAGAAAAAGCAACATCACGCGTAACAGTTGAAAGAGCCACTACAGTGTAAGATTGTAGTATGCCACTAAATAACACTGAGTTACCGAGTTGCTGAGTCAGTTCACTGACAAATGACAATAAGGAATTTTTGTTGTTTGCTCTATAACTTTATTTCTTTGATGAATCAACGTCACACATAGTTTAAATAGTATTCCAAATTTCCAATTTTATGGGTAGATTTAATTTTCGTCTGTCACCAAATTGTACAAAAAGAAGCATGCTTCCAAATGTTTGAATAAATTGCATACTTGTTGTATGTTATACATACACTGACACACTGTATCACTTTGGACCACATGCATGATTGAATTTTTCAACTTCGAATTTCAGATAAGTTTGTCAGTTAATTTAATTAATTAATGATGTCTTTGTAACAGATTTAAGTGTTAAGAGTGAAGGAGAAGAGCTGTACCGGGTGCAATGTAACCGTAAGATCCAGCAATGACGGACATAGACTCGTCGCTTTGTATGAGCTTGGCCACCCCAAAATCGGCTACCCTTGCCTCCATTTCGGCGTCTAGAAGGATGTTACTAGGTTTAAGATCGCGATGAACAATAACTGGGTCGCAATCGTGGTGCAGATAGCATATGCCTTGAGCCACGCCGAGGGCAATCTTGTACCTAGTAAGCCAATCTGCTATTAGATTTTCTCCTTTGACCTTGCCATGCAACAAATCATCTAAACTCCCATTAGGCATGTACTCATAGAGCAACAATGTGCCTTCCCTATTACAACAACACCCTAACAACCTTACAATGTTCCTATGCCTTACATTGCCTAGCACCTCCACCTCGGCGAGCACCCCTCTTCGCCTCCTCAACGTCTCCTTCTGCTTCCCCCACAACTTCTTGATTGCTATGATCTCACCACTAGGCATCTCCGCCCTATACACTGTCCCGGTAGCCCCCATTCCGATGATCTTATCACTCATTGCCAAGCACTCCAACACATTATCCGCGGTGAAGTTCAATCGTTGAAAGGCGGTCAACTTCCACGGACCAATCTCCTTACCCTCGGATATTTTACGGCTATAATTAGCATGAAAACACCTACTACCGGCAATCAACACAAACAGTCCAACCCCAAATGCCGCGGCCATGATCCAAACAATAGCCCCCGCCGTCTTCTTAGGCTTCTTATCCTCCATATCCGATGCTCCGGCCACTGGAGAACCCGACAAGCACGGCTTCCCAATCAAATTACCACACAACCCCTCATTACCCATAAACGATGATGCATTCAAATTAGGAAAAATCGACCCCGAAGATGGTATAGACCCCGTCAAAAGATTAAATGACACGTTAAAAGTCTCCAAAGTTCTACAATTATCAAAATTAGAAGGAATACTCCCACTAAGATTATTATAAGAAAGATCAACAATATTAATAGAAGGAAGAGTAGAAATTTCCCAAGGAATAATTCCTGTCAACATATTTTTCCTCAAATTTAAGGAAATCAACTTCTCACAGTGCCCTATATTCCAAGGGATTGTACCCTTTAAATTGTTCCCTTCCATCTCAATTTGGTACAAACTTTTGCACCCCTTAAAATCTGGGATATTCCCAGAAATCCCACAAAAAGAAGCTGAGAAAATCTGCAAACTAGGACTACCCCAAATCCCATTTGGTAATTCCCCACTAAAAAAATTCTCTGAAACATTCAAATTCATCAATTTGGGTGCAATCCCAAGATCATTGGGAATGTTCCCGCTTAAATTATTTTGACTAACATCCATAAAAACAAGATTAGGCAAGTGTCCAAACCCAGTTGGGATACTTCCATTAAACAAGTTATTTTGAATTCTTACCCTGACTAATGAAGTGCAATTCACAAGTGATGTTGGCAACTCACCAGTGAATAGATTGTTGAACAAAATAAGCTTCTCCAAGGTGTTATTAGAGCACAATTGCTCCGGCAAAACCCCGGTGAGGCGGTTCGAGGAAACGTCGAGTTTAACCAACTTTCCATTGGTACCAAGACTAGAAGGCAACGACCCATTAAGGTCATTATTCCAAAGAAGAAGAAACTCGAGCATTGGAAGCTCACCAACACCTTGTGGAATTTCCCCACTTAGCTCATTGCTTAACAAACTTAGTACATTCAGCTCCTTAAGCTCTGAAATCCACTCAGGAATCGAACCCGAAAGCCGGTTACCGGATAAATCAAGCCATTGTAGTCCCTTCAAGTTGGATAAGCTAGATGGGATCACACCCGAAAAGTCGTTGGAAAACAACAACAATGCAGTTAAGTTTGTTAAGTTCCCAATTTCTTGGGGTATACTCCCAGATAAGCTACAATTTGAGATGTCTAAGTATTGTAAGTTGGATAACATACCCAACTCAATTGGTAAAGACCCTTCAAAATTGTTATACCCCATTTCAAGATGTTCAAGTTGACTCAAAGAACCAAGTTCAGGTGGTATTGTACCATTTAGGCTGTTTCCTGCTAAATCAAGGAAGTTTAGGCTAGGAATACTGCCATACTCTGCCGGAATACCGCCCGAAAAGTAGCTGCCTCCGAGGTTAAGGTACTCGAGGTACTGGATGTCGGGGAGGTCAAGTGGTAAAGGGCCGATGAAGCTGTTGCTATAACCATTGAAATGTCTAAGGAGTTTGAGCTTAGAAAGTCCTTGAGGAAAGGTTGAGTTATAGTTGTTATGGTTAATATCAAGGGTTCTAAGCTCTGATAATTCAAAAATTGAGGTGGGGAAATTACCCTCAAATGAATTCTTGCTTAAATTGAGAGTTTTAAGGGAGTATAAATGGCGGATATCCGGTGGGATATCGCCGGAGAGATTACGCGAAGAGAGGTCCAAAGAGATGATTAAGGAGGAATTAAGTGCACATTTGATTCCTGACCAAGAACACCAAACAGGGGAATGATGGGGAGAAACAGGGGAAGAATTTGATAAAATTGGGGTAGGATCCCAACTTTTTAGGGAATCTTGAGGGTCTTTGAGTGAAGATTTAATGGATAGAAGAGAAAGAACTTGAATTGGGATTTGTGATTTTTGAAATGTGGGTGTTTCTGATTGAATTAGTAATGGAAAAATGGTGAGGAAAAAGCAGATAAAAACAGAAGAAAACAGAGGAGAAGGGAATTTCATGGTTTTTGAGTGATGAAAAATCTAAGTGTGGAAGAAGAGAAGTGAAAGAGGGTAAATTTAAGGGAAGAAAGGAAATGAAGATAATTATGATGATGAGAAATAGTAGAAGAAAAATGAGTAATAGTAGAAAATCTAGTAAGAGAAGAAATGGTGCTTTTTTGGAGTGCAGGGTGCAGAGGGTGTTTCATCATGAGTTTTTGGTTTGAGTGGGACTGAGAGTAGGAGAAGAGAGTGATATAGATTGACAAAAAGATAACCAAAAAAGAAATAAGATGATTTTGTATTTTTTTTCTTCATTCTTCTTTCTTTCTATTAACAACCATCACCACCTACCTATTATTTTGAATAGTGAGGTTGAATTTCACTACTATTTCAAAACTATTCTTGTTTTTTTGATTGGCATGGGTGATATCATATCAATCAATGGAGAAAGTGTTTCTTTTTTTGGTGGTTCATGAGGAGGTGTTGAGAACATCTACTATTAGAATGCATAATTCTTATGTTACAATGTTATCTAAAATTGTATAGTATAGTATGTTCATGTATGTCAAACGGATATAAACACGTACAATGAAGTGTTACCTAAAGCTGTCTAGCTATGTACGGAGTATAATGTAATATGTACCAGATCACATATATTGAATCATGATAGGCAAAGAGACTAGCAGATGCCAATGAGAACTTAACCTACTGACTACTAATAAGGGTTTATATACAATAGGTCGGATTACTAAGGTGGTCGGTGGTCCTATAATTTAATAACATGTTTTTAATTACTACGTATAAATTTCATTATCATATTCATAACATGTCAAAATAATGTCACGTACTCCATAGTAGAATTGTCCACACCCCATACTCCCTAACATAACAATCTTGGCCAAACATTAGAATTGAAAGCTCTTAGATAGTGATACTCTACTGAAATCTTGGGATGTATTAAGTAAAATTTCATCCTATTTGTTCTGTGGTTTTGCTTCTCACTTGTATCTATCTTGAAAGTTATTGTAGTTTTGTCTGCTTTGCTTCAA